TTTGTTCATTTTGTAATGATATCTTTAATTCTCTAATTTTGGTGAATATTTTTGTCATTTTTGATAAGAAGTGATATTTTCGACTTCTTTTTAAAAACCGCAAGTGCAATTGCTTTGATATTACATATATAGGTACTACATGTGGACCACTCTCAAATTTGTTCATTTCATGATGATATCTTTAATTTTCTAATTTTGGTGAATATTTTTGTCATTTTTGGTAAAAAGTGATATTTTCTTCTTTATGGTGAAAAATGATATTTTTGAATTCTTGTTTAAAACAGCAAGTCCCATTGCATTGATACTTTGCATATTGTTCATTTTCTAATATATCGTCAGTTCTTTAATTGAAATGTGCATTGCTAACAGCGGAGCTATCTCAGCCGAGAGGCTGCTTGTTAACTGATATTTTAATAATTACACATAATTTTTCTATTTTCACAAGACAAGAAATAATTTTTTTTTTTGCCTTATTGATAATATCAGTGTTCTATGTTAAAAGATTGTGAATGCCTTGTCACAACATGTCATATTGTCTCGGCATGGGTCTCATGTTACAAATACATTTTACACAAAATTGCACACTGCATGATGACCGATGCCCTGTAGTCATACTGGTATAAAGGTCATTATAAAGATCATAGCTTCACCTGTTGCGAAGTAATTGACAATATATATCTTGCAAGCGATTCATCCATTTTGCTTGTCATTATATAGATGCAGGTATATGTTTTGATTTCCATGGTGATAATACATTGGTGTAAATGCCAACATTTTTCAAAAACATGTATTGGTTCATTGATTCATGCGAATGCAACAATCTAGCTAGATGCACAGGTGATCGTGTAAAAAAATTATTGGTAAAAATTTTGATTGTCAAAATTTTTTTAGAAAATTAGAATTTGTTGGGGCAAGTATGGGGGTGGATTACGGAATATACCGGTAGCAGTCATCACAGAAAACAACTCCCAAGACATCAGATATATACTTATAATGTATTGTGTTGGAAACCTGACTTCAGGTGTGTTGATGCATCAGTTAAGTCTCATCAATCCGGTTATCGACTGAATTAATGTACAAATGTCGGTAAAGTTACAGACTCTAAAAGAGGACTGAAGGACAAAGCACAGCTGTTATCAAAGAATGATTGAAATATCTCAAGTCTATTAAATATATAGTAGTAAAGTGAACCATTATTTAATAAATTTGCAATTTTGAAGTTTTTAATGCAATTCATTCTTGAATGGCATGTCATTTGGCTTATCCCACTTCAAGCCACGTTAGGGATAGACCATTTAATGTCAGGGGGGTTTGGACGATTAATGTAAATTGATCTTAGTTTTCACTTTTTGTAACAATCAACTGCGATTTGATTAATAAATGTACTTTAATTAAAACCTAGGAAATATGCAAAGTTAATCACAGAATGTATTGTTTCTTTTACAAACCTGAATAACTTCATGAAACAATGGACTCAGAAAGTATTGTGATGGAACACCAAATTCAGTATAATTAAATTCATTGTTTTTCTTGTGATTAGAATTTTTTTTTCTGAATGAGTTTAAAAACTGTATTTGTCCTTGAATTGTCTAAGCCCTCTCCTGACTTTTGAGTCTGTGTATGAATGCTCCAAATATCCCAGTTTGGTTCTAATGCAAAATTAAAACAAAACTATTGGTATATTGGAGACTGTCCAGTTTTGTTAAGAAAAATCTGTTGATATTCTGAAAAATGCAATTTGTTTATGTGTATGTGTGGAATAAATATGATGTGTGTTATATAATACTGTACTTAAAGACAGGGTTTTAGTAAGAATAAAATTGAACTAGGATAAAAGTCCAGAAATTGTTTGTGCATTGAAAACTGTTTTTTTTTTTCTTATTGTTCTAGCTTAAATATGTTTCTGCGAAACAAAACCGGCCAATTTTATTGTGTAATGACTATGGTAATGGTGATATAGAGCAGTATTAAGTTACGATAATTAGAAATCGTAATTTTGGAGAACATATATAAGGCTGTCAGGAAATGAACACGATGGGAATTGCTACAAATGTCAATTTAATCCACAAAATGCAATTTACGTTCATACCGTACACATTCAATCGTACCTCAAGAGGTTTTTTTAATCCAAAACCAACATTTTTATATCCAAAATGTAATGCTTTACAGCACAAAAACACATCAAGATCGTCTTTCACATGATGCATAGCCCTTCAACCAATCATATAAATTGGTTTATTTACTAGTTAAATCACGATCACATGATTATGATTATGGCATATGAACCACAAGCGTGAAGCACAAGTGGTTAATGTGCCGTAGTACAAATTGCGAGTAATTTGTACTATGGATTTCACAATTTGGGAGTTTTGGCCAATGAAATTGTGCAGCTTATTTGGCATATATTTGAAGTTGTTGGTAGTTTAATCTCATAGGCTACATGCCAAAACGGCACATGCACAGGCAGACACTTTTTTCCTATCGGAAATAAAATGGCAAGCACAAAACATTTCTTTATAATGAGAAATACAAAGGAATAACAAATGAAACAGGTTTACTAGATAGTATATTAATTTACTCATGCTCAACAGCTATCACCTACTGTTCAAATAGTACTGTGGAATACTTTATTTTCGCTGGAATTAATTTTTGCTGAAAAGGCTTTTTGGGCGTTTTGCTTGAATTTTAATGTGAAATATAGAAAAAAAAGTATATTCACTGGATTTTATTTTCACGGAAACATCCCTTCAGCGAAAATAGCGAAAATAAATTCCAGGCGAAAATAAAGTATTCTACAGTAGGTGGATAACTTGGACTTGGATGAACAGGCAAACGGTAATTTCAAACACAGCGTCTTTCGTGGGCATATGCATTCAGTCATGTTTAAAGATCGGTGCTCATCGTATTTGATACGAGTCCCACTAATGCAACATATAGCTATGCATGTAAAATATATAATACATTATAACGTGGGCTGCACGATGACTAACTCCCTTTAATTAAAGTGGGGGAGTCGTCTCCTGTGCATGCAGCAGTCGGCCATAGCCACACGCATCTACCCATGAGCGTTTTTTTTTGCGTGCGTTGTTATCATCAAGCATATGCACAGGTGACGACTCCTTCACTTTAGAATTTGAAATCATTGATCAATATCTAGAAAGATATAAAATTTTGATGGTAAAATCAATGTAAATTTTAATACAGCTCAGCAAAGACAGCGTACGCTTGCATGATATCAGCTATTTTGTTTTAGATTAGAATAAACGCAGCAAAGTAATAATTTTCATGTATTTAGAGAACAAGCAAGAATTACCATGTCATAGTTCGTCTGTAGCAGACATCACTGCCAGTTTAGTAATTACTTTCGCAAAGTAGTCTGTGCTATCAGACGCATAAATCAATATTACCTCATGGGGCATACATGTCTACAACGAACTCAATCAAACAGAAAAATATTCAAAAGTTGTTTCAACTGTTATCAATCATGAAAACACAGTTGTTGAAATGACACTGTTGGAAAATATGTGTTGACACACTCAAAATGAGAATATGGACAATTAAACATACCAATTATTTTTTCATTACATAATGCTTTTAATAATTAGTTCATTTGTAAATAGATGATTTGAGCATCTCAATATTCTGACTAATTGAATTAATTAATTATTTAAATCAGCAATTAATTATTAGAGTCAATCACCTGATGGCTCTAAAGTGAGAGACATTGATATGTTATATTTTCTTTTGAATATATAAAAATCCATTATTTTATTGCTAATAATTATAACACTTCAGTATGACCATTTTTGTTTTTGTTTACAGTGGTGTCAACTTCTATGACTTAATGGTACGCCAAGGTGCTATAGACAACCCACCGAAGACTCCACTAGTCCTTGGATTTGAGTGTTCAGGTGAAGTTGAATCGGTTGGTGAAGGGGTCACTGATTTTCAGGTAGGTGTATATTGTCAATAGTTTTCATGTACGGATACACAAACAATTATTTAAGATCATATGTATTTTCTCTTTTGTTGTTGATGCGTTTCTTGGCAACATTTTCAGCTCATTAGCATGTTGCGATACAAGACTCCAACAAAATCGAAAAACAGTTTCTGGTCAATTGGTGTTCCGAAATCAATGCACATAATTATTTTTTTTTTTAATTTTAAAAATATCAAATAAATCAAAATGAAAATCAATTTTGATTTCGTTTAAAAAAAAAATTTGACAAAAATAAATTGTGGTTTTTGTTAATTTTTCCTGAAAATTTATTTTTTCTTTGAATGTTTTTAAATTCTGATAAAGAAACTGAAAAACAAGCAGTGACACTTTTTAGATATCACTATTTAGTATTTGCACAACAAAGAACAAATTTCTTTGTTTCATTGTGATTCAGGCTGCACAATCAGTCACTTAAGTCAAAGCGATAAATTGTCTTATTTTGATAAGATTATCCAATCAATGAAAGTATCTCTATCATCCCTCGGGCCAATCACGTTCCAAAAAACGACTTCTATTGACAACATCGTAAAAAGCAACCCAAGGCATGTAATTAACGTGGGATTTACCCATTCATCAAGAGCCTAATTATCTCGCATAATTGACTGCATTTTATAAATGCCCCTATGGTACAAATTATCACTTTTCGTTGCCATGGAAATTTCAATCCTTTGATCCAGAGACTAACCTTTCGAAGGCCTTTTTTTCGTATTGCAACATTCTCCACATTATATGTAATTGTTAATTTTTAGACCGAATGGAAATAAATGCAAACTGGCTACTGGTCTTCATCATAATTTTTGAAATTTTTTATCATTCAGTACTTTCTTTGGTACAGAAGTTAACTGCAATTAACTTTTTCGCAAAGAATGTTACAAAATTTGCATACATTTCCCAGAATTCAATGTGATTGATGTTTCATTTTTTTTTCATTTGTTTTGATGGAGCATAAGAAGCACCTACATTACTCAGTTTGGTCTAATGTGTATTACTTCTTATTACTTATGAATACTAATGACAACTTTGTGGGTTTTTAATAAAATTTGCTTAATCTTACTCTGGGAGTCAGCAGAGCGAGGCATTTGCCAGCCATGCAGAAAAACTAGTTATTGCAAGTAATTTGCTGGAGAGAGTTCATCTGTTAGTTGAGCTGATTATAGAAAATATTAGAGTTATGTAGTTAGATTATTAAGTCTGGCAACATATATTGGGAAGGCTTGTTTATAACTGGTAAAGCTATGAATACAAAACAGGTCTTTCTGCAAAGCAGAAATTCAAAATTAATTTGAAACAAAAAGTTAAACAAAATTTTAAATTCATCTTTTCATTTAAATTTAAAAATAGTTTCAAACTGATTTTTGATTATTTACACATTTATGATTAAGATTTTTGATTTTTCATCAAATAACTGAATATCCAGTGTTGAGCTCTTTTTGTGGACACATTCTGGTTGAAATGTGATAACAAAATAATTTCTGCCCAAATTTGCTGAGTTCTATGTGCGGTTTTCGAAACATCATTGTTATTCTGCACATGCGTTACTTGGAGAAAATAAAACAAAATTGCACTGCCAGCTGATAGTGAACTTTATAAAATTTAAATAAGTAAAAAAAACGATTTGGCGAGCAAACATGTGTATTTGTTTTCAATCAGCTCATAAATAACTCATACTTACGTCGGAGCTCAGCTTGGTTGTCATGCATGATTCAGTGACAACCATGTTTTTGCGGCCCAGGTGACAGAACGATAATGATCTTGTCAGTTCCTTTTTTTAATTATTCAAGACAACTATTGCCTCTTTAAATGTCATGTTTAGTGAACAGAAAAATGTGTCCTCTAGTGGTGAAATTGTACCAGAAACATTAGCGACACTCTTGCATTCGTTCCACTGGCTTACACCACTGCCACACCATATTTGCATATCAAAGCATAGAACGTAATCAAAGACATTTCAAAGTCTCTTGGATTCGCACAGTAATTTTGAAATCACACATAAACATAGAGATGAATCACCACATTTTTTAAGCAAATTACAGAACATATGCAAACTATGGTGTAGCAGTGGTGAAAGCCAGAATGACTGCATGAGAGCTCCACCAGTGTTTGAAGTGTGGCCCTCTTGTGGTGAAAATGTACAAAAAGTGTGCCCTCTAGTGGTGGAATTGTACTAGAAATTATAATAACCTTTGGTGATGGAAATGCTGAGAGGTTTATTGATGGTACAGAAAGGTTGTAATTTATCATTTAACTTGCTTTAAGTTGGCCTAAAGCTATCTTAAAGCTTGTTTTTCAAGCTGCTGCCATATATCTAAATTGTGGAATCTGCCTAAATATATCTTTATAGTAACATAGGTAAACACTATAAAAAATAAGCTGAAATTATTTATCACAATGATACTCGCTTCAAAAGTTTTCATGAAAAGGCAAGCTCAAAACCAGCTTAGAAGTTAAAGTAGATTTGAAAATTACTTAAATTTTTGTTAGCCTTATTTTTCAATACTAGCATCACCATGGTTACCTAATCTCATTATACCAGTTGTCTAACCTTCTGTAAGATGAGTTTCCATTTTGCCAGTCTCTCCAGTAATATTGTTGGTTCTTAAAAATCACCTCAAAATCCATACATCCAAAATTGTTAGTCCCTGAGAATTCACCCCCTCCAAAAGATTGTTAGTCCCTGATAATTCACCCCAAAGTTATATATGGTTCTTCCCTGATAATTCACCCTAAAGAAATATGTAGTTTAGTCTCTATGAATTCACCCCCATAAATAAAATGGTTAATCCCTGAGAGCACAGCTTTTCTCAAGGGTTACAAAGAGTTCAACTCCTCACAAAATCAAATTTTCAGCTTCCAAGCAGCCTAAGTGAATCTTTACATACAAAGAAAACAATTTACCGGTGGTCTCAAAATGTATAATTGTGAAAAAATAACATTTAATCAGTTTTCAAGCAAATTTAATTCCTTATAGAGTAAGTTGACAGTTGGTAAAAGTGCATGAATGCAGCAATTTCCTTGTTTGGGGGTTTAACAAATAACACAGCTGTGGACTTTGCTGATGAGCAAAGCCTTTCAAAGATGTAAAGGGTTACCTATTTGAAAGCCTAGGGGGGCAGAACTAGAGGAAATCAGTAAAATGTTTGTTTTTTTCACATCACAGCGGCAGCCATTTGTTTTCCTATTTTTTCTGTGTCCTCAAACACACCACTGCCCTATATAATGATTTTATGGAATCTCCTCAAATACTCGGAGATTAGCTTCGAGTGAGAATCTCATAGTTTCTTCCATTATTTCCCCAATTTTTGTTTTTTGCTTTCGTTGCACTGAAGCAAGGTGAACTCTACATAGTCACATTCACGAACACATTATTTTATAAATTGTGTTCTAGAATCTGTAACACTAAATAATTAACACTCCCACTGAAGGTCAACTCGACTGTCACTCTGGATTAATCAAATTCTAGTCTTGTTTTTCTCTGTTTATAATGCTTTATGCCTATAACAATGGTAGCATCATAGCAAAGTTTTTAAATAAAGCAATACAGAAATCATGTACTGTGGAATACTTTATTTTTGCTGGAATTAATTTTCGCTGAAAAGGCTTTTTGGGCATTTTGTATGGAATTTATTTTCACTGATTTTTGATGAGTTTAATGTGAAATATAGAAAAAAAAGTATATTCGCTGGATTTTATTTTCACAGAATCATCCCTTCAGCGAAAATAGCGAAAATAAATTCCAAGCGAAAATAAAGTATTCTACAGTATTTGAAAGCTATCACCTCTACAGTGGGAGAATCCTGTAATTAACATTAAATTTTTTAATATCTCTAAATTTTATTTTTATCTTGTCATAGTTTAGTTTATTTAACTGCTGTATTTTTTTTATTTGTATTTTATTTACCATACTGCGCCCTCTGATGGCATAGTAGTATCATAAAGTTATTATTATTATTATTATTATTATTATTATTATTATTATTATTTATAATGCCTAAAATAACAATGGCAGCAACTTCGTTGATTTTAGA